GTAGATAATATATTGTAAAATACACTATTTATGAGACTTAAAATCTTTTTATTTTTCATGATCATACATCACGATGTCGAGATAATAAATCAAAAGGGTTTTTCACCATTAAAACTACCTTTTTCGATGGATTTTTTAGGTGTATCCGTAGTTCTACATTATAAAGTTGCATCCTTATATAATCTTATGTTACTGTGTTATCGGTAGTAGTTCTTTAGAATAAAAGTTTGGGTTATTTTTGGAAGTAGCAAAAAGAAGCTCACAATACGGTACCTTAGGCATTTAACGATCGATGCAGGTGGCATCAGCACAAACCAAGGGGTTGAAAATATTGTCTAATATGGTCCCTAAGGAATATATTGTGTTCTTAATCCAACATGAAGTTGAAAAACTTAATAGTATTTAGTAAATTTAAAATTTAGGGATATTTGATTATATCAATATTTAAAAATAAATTTTTGATTTAAAAATTCAAAATAGAGTTTTTAGTTGATAAATCATACACGTGAGGGAACACAATCAAATGATATTTGTGCTACAATTTCCTTTTCTCCATTCTCAAACCGAGAAAAACATGGTAACGGAGAAAATAAGTTATCTTCTCCAATTTTGCAATTACCAAACGGGGCAAAACGGGTGGGTACGCAAAACCTGAACCGTCCTCTTGAAAGAGAGGTTTTAAATCTATAAAAAGAAAATTGGGAGAGGGAACTGATTATGTTCGAAGGAGGTGGCTTGCGTTTTTTATTTTATTTTTTTATATTTATTCTGTAAATAATTTTGAAGCAAACTTGGGGCATCCATAGATCTATTTTTATATTTATTCTATAAATAAGTTTTAAGCAAAGTTGAGGCATGCATAGATCTAACATAGACGTACATGATGAAAATAAAATAAAAATATTTCTGGGTATAACAATACTAATGTGAGTGGTAACCAAACTACATATGATTACATCCGGGTGGGTTCGCTTGTTTGAAAACCTTGAACCGCTCTCTTTCAAAAGAGTTCACACTTGGATCATCAGAAATCATCACTGGAAAGAGAAGTTTTAAATCTATAGAAAGAAAATTGGGAGAGGGAACTGATTTTGGTCTCAGTGGATGGCTAAAATGGCTTGTGTCGAACCGTCTTATCTTGATCAGCTCAAATAATTTTATTTCTTATACTTATTCTGTAAATAATTTTGAAGCAAAGTTGGGACATGTATAGATCCGCACATGATAAAAATAAAATAAAAATATTTTCTGGGGATAAAAATTACCATAATACCCCTGAAAATTGCAGGGTTATTTTGGTCATTTATTTTTACAGAAAATACTTTTTTTTTTTTCTCTGTGTTCACCCTAATTTTATGATGAATGCCCAAAATTTCATCCAAAAATTTTATGTAAAAAAAATAAAAAATAAACCAATATTTGGGGTGACATTGTGGTATGAACAATCGTAAGATCGAACGGTTAAGAAGTAGGGTCACATATAACTTACATATTGTTGGAGTCACATAAAAACATATTCTAATTTTAAATTTGTACTTAAAAATTGGGGGAGAAACTGATTTTAAAGGTTTAAGATGAAAAAACAGGTGGTCAGATTTCGGAAGAGGGATCTTTAATCAAAGATATTCATATGCAAGAGAGACTTTTAGATAAGAAATAGTGATTCAGAAGGAAAGAAGCTGGGTCGTGGTGGTAGCACCCACATGCCTAGTTATCACGTTGTGGTGGTACCACCTACTGACACTTTCAAAATAGCTAACTTCCTATTCTATATGAAAAACCCGGTAGGGTTTGTCTTCCCCACTGAAGTACCCAAAAGAAAAAAAAAAAAAGATTTAGACCGCAGTAATTATCTTCTTAAACAGTTGGATAGAAGAATATGGAAATAGAAAAGCTATGTTGAAGTGTGTATAACAAGTAAGACGATAAGAAGTTTGTTTTTCTAGCAAGACTATCTTTAGAAAGATAGAACTATTTATAAAAAAAAATGGATGCACGCCGATTGTAATGGGGATGGATTTTTGGTTAAATAAAGAAAAAAAAAAAAATTGTAGACAGAGAGAGATATGGTTCTTTTTGTAGGTTTTTCTTTTATGTGCTTTGATGTCCGTTAATTTTTTTACTTTCTATGCTATGATGTGCACTATGAAGAACTCAGACTCCATGTCTGTGCTTTCTTTTTGCAAATTTCTTCTTAGTTTATTATTTTTCTCTGGTTGTTTAAAATCTGTTTTTTTAATTAATTTTCATTTTTATTTGGATGTCTTTTGTTTAATCATGTTTAAAATATATATTTCATATTTTATTAGCTTTTGTTTTTGTATTTTTTTAACCCTCTTTTGACCATCCGGGACTTGCTCGGTTAGGCCAGTTGAACCGCTTCCGGCCCCATGTCCGGTTAATCGTTTCGATTCGATTTTTCCTGCGTTGCTCTCAACACACCTTTCTATGCGAAAGTCCAAAAAGCATAAAAGTTGACTCATCTCGCTTTCTACTTGTTTTTCTCTCATTGTCTCTCTAAAACATCGTAAGGTTCTAGTGTCTAATGTGTGGGTTCCAAGTTCAGATGCATAGAGCGTTGGAATATCACAAGAGACCTCTATGTTTTCTTGTATCCCGATGATGACTTGTCCTTCGTATGCACATCAATTACAATATTGAAAAGGCGCAAATATCGTCTTGAGATAGCGGTCTTGCGTGCCCGACAACAAAAAAGAACCCAGCTATTTTTTAAAATAACGTACTACCTTTTTGCCCGTTTTTTCGCCCAACCATTTTCTAACATAACCTGCGAAATCACAATTTCAATACTAGGCTAGCTCGTTTCTAATACTAAGAGAACAAGGACATCAATCCCAACATTAGGGGCATCCTGGATAAGCAAGCAATGACCTTGATTTCCTCACTCGAGGAAACCTGGTTAAGGGCACTCAAGGACCTTGAATCCATTACTACGGGAACTATGGTTGAGGGCCCTATTGACAGTTCTCAGTTCATTAACCTATGGAAGTCGAATCTTTGTTGTATGTCATATGTAACCAACATTCGCAGAACTCAGCCCCAATCATGGTGGACTTGTGGTCCCAAATATCCAGGCCGTAAGGACAACGATTCCAAACATAAGGATCATCTAGCATGTCCAGATCATCCTCCGCATCCCAACGGTTGCCGTTATGGAATGAAGTATTGACAAATGGGATAGGTGGCAGAATTGTCGAACCTAAGCCAATCCTTGTACATCTTGTCCAATTCAAAATCAAAGAGGGGTGCTCCTTTACCTTCAACAAGATGATACCTAGCCAGACCCTGATGAAGAGGTAACAGTGAAACCGGTTATTTTGACTGGAACGGTTTGGAGTTGTGCAACTTTGTGGCTCTGCCCGTGGCCACAGTTTTTATTCCTAGTGGTTTTGGGATGCCTATGAATTCAATAGTTTAATTTAGCTAGCATGCTTTTTACTTTGGTTTGTTATGACCTGTATATGCATCTTTGGAAATTCTGAATATGGAAAAAACAGTGCGCATGTTCTTTTGTACCTTGTGAAACATTTGTGGCATTAGAAATTATAAAAAAACAAAAATTAAAAACTTAGAGTTAGAGAGATCTAATTTATAACAATGAGTTGTATTTTAAACCAACATAAAACATGTTTTCAATATTTATGTAATTTTTAATAAAATAATAAAAATCCATAATCCAAAACCCTCATTTGTTTTAGAAACCTAAAAATAAGATTTTTAAAATTTTTTAATGATTTTAAAATCTTTTTAAGGCCGGATTAAGACGTTCCGGCTGATCCACCAATTCAAAATGCCAATCCATCTGAACCAATTTCTAGGATGACGATCTAGGTCAAAGATCCATTTTTTTAAACATGGAAAAGTATCATGTGTCAGCCATGTGTTGGAGATGCATTCGTACATTTGCATCCCCCAAGGCAAAAACTATCCGTCCAAAGATTGATGCCAATGGTGATCTCTCCAAAAAAAAAATTTGAAATCATCGGTCTAAATATTTTCTTCAAAATGTTATCATTTTTTATTATCAAAAATTCATTTTTTTTACATATTAATGATCCTCGTGTTAGAGATTATATATCACTTAAAGGAAAATTGTGTCATGCATGCGGGACCGTATTTCTAAAACATGTGGTCCAAAGGTATAAAGCATCCATTTTAAAGATGGATGCAAATAAGTGGTTTATCTAAAAGCATTTGAATCTGTACAAATGTTTTTTTATTAAATTATTACTTTAAATTTTAAAATTTTATTTATTTTTTCATATTCATGATCTCCATGTTAGAAATTACATGTCATTAAAAATTAGAGAAAAATTATCAGAAATATACATTAATTTTTACCTAATTGAAAACAAACCATCAACTTTCATAAACCTCACTCTCACTCTTTTTTCTTCAATTTTGATATTTTTTAGATCAAAATAGCCTTCACGGTTGTTGTATTACCGTAATGACTACTGCATTGCGGTACTTTAAGTACCGTAATAATCAAGTTAAGCATTACGGTATTTTATATTACGTAATGACATGGCTAAGCATTACGGTACTTTAAAGACCGTAATGCTCACTGGGTCTCTTTATCCCGAATTAGACACATCTGAGCATTACGGTCTTTGAAGTACCGTAATACTTAGTTTGATCATTACAGTACTAATGTTTAGCCTAGTCATCATGGTAGTTAAAGTATTAACTACCATAATGCAATAGTCATTACGATAATACGACTACCATAAAAGCTATTTTGGTATTAAAAAAAAAAAAGTCAAAATTGAAAAAAAATAGTTTGAATGAAGTTTATGAAAGTTTTTTTTTTCAATTAGACTAAAATTAAAGTATATTTATGATAATTTCATTAAAAATTAAATCCAAAAATCCATCACACAAATAGACTTTTAAAAGGTGACTCGCTCGTGTCCTTGCTTTAAAAAGCTGAATCAAGATCCATTTTTGAAACAGATTATTACAAGGAGGGCCGCATTTCTACATTTGAGTCTGGATAAAAGCGTGTCTTTTGAAGAACAACTGAGCAATATACCTTCAAACTTTGCATGGTGCTGAGCTCGCATGACACAACCCCTCCGAAACTGCAGTTGAACGCTCGATTTTTGAGACAATCATCCTTTTAATCCACCAAAACTCTAAAAACCGAAGAAGGTCCACCACTCTATTAACCCATAACGGGTGGCCCCGAAATTGCAGAGCCAACAATTTTTCCTCAACGCCATCACCACGATTGAGAAACTCTCAATATACCATCAAGCAGTCTCTTTTAGAGAGAAAAGATGGCTTCTTCTTTTGCAGGGGTGATACCCATCACACATATTAACAATTTTCCTTTAAAAAAAGCTCTGCCATCTTCTCCACCCAATTCATTTCTTCACCATTATTCTCACGTGGTTCTCCTCTCGCTCTGCAACTCTCCGTCTCTCTCTAATCTGCCAAGCTGTTGTACAGAAATGACATACTTGCAAGCACTCCATGTGAAACATAGCCAAATCTCTCCACACAACTTGATTTCACGGTGTGAGGAACTCAATCTCGAAGAAGCCATGGAAATTGTGGACTCAACTGAAAGGAATGGAACCTATCTCAATGTTAGCTCCTATTCCTGCCTTCTGGCGTGTTGTATTGAGAAGAAAGCTTTACAAGAGGGCATAAGGATAAGAACCCACATGGCCAAATTCAAAGTAGAGGCTGGAATCTTCATGGAAAACCAGTTTCTCAATCTCTGTGCAAAATGTGGGGCCGTGGAAATCGCACACCAGACATTTGAAGAGATGCCACTAAAGAACTTGGTTTCTTGGAATGTTATGATTGCTGGTTATTGCTCAAATGGAAAATACTACGAAGCTTTCAAAATTTTCAAGGAGATGTGCTCAAAAGGCCCCAGGCCTAATGATTTAACATATGTAAGTGCCCTTCGAGCCTGCGCGAGATTGGACGATTCATTCTATGGAGATCAGATTCTCAATTGTGTGATTAAACAGGGGTTTCTCTCCTTGCCCATTTTGAATTCCCTGATCACATTGTATGCCAAATTGGGGAATCTGGAAGATGCTGAGATGGTTTTTTACAAAATGGCAGATCAAAGAGATGAGGTCTCATGGAATGCTATCATCACGGCCTATTCTCAAAATGGTTTCAATGAACAAGCTCTGACGCTATTTGTGAATATGCTAAAACAAGGCCTGAAACCCGATGAATTTTCATTTGGAAGTGCACTTAAATCTTGTGCTAGTTTAAGGAATGTTTCACTAGCCAAAGAGCTCTATGCCCAGATAATCAAGGGAGCACTTGCGTTCCATCTATTTGTTGGGTGTGCTCTTTTGGATGTTTTTGCAAAATGTGGGGATCTCAGAGCTGCTCGCCTGATTTTTTATCGAATGCCAGATCGAAATATCGTTTCTTGGAATGCCATGATTTCAGGTTATGTGGAGAATGGTTATGTAACAGGAGCTCTGCAACTTTTTGTGGAAATGCATGAAAATGGTATTGGTTTGAGTGAATTTGCTTTATCCAGTGTGCTCAAGGCTCTATCAATGGATTCCATTCAAGAAGAGGGACAGCAATTCCATGTGCTTGCCATCAAATCAGGATTATATACAGATGCCTCAGTAGGTAATGCTCTTATTACCTTGTATGCTGCTTACAGGAAGATCTACAGCTCTTTGCGAGCATTTAAAGATATTTTGGAAGCAGATATTATCTCTTGGAACTCCACAATTCAATCTTATATCCAGAACCAGAGACCCAGTGAGGCCCTTCTCCTGTTCCAGAAAATGAAGTTTTCAGGGATGGAACCTGATGGGTTCAGCTTTATTGGTGCCTTGGCTGCCTGTACAAATGGAGCTTGGGCTAAAACGGGCAGACAATTACATTGTGACTTAGTTAAAAAGGGATTCACATCAGATTCCTTTATAGGAAGTGCACTAATCAATATGTATACCAAATCTGGGGCTCTATCTGAAGCTAAGGAGGTATTTGATAGGATTGAGCAGAGAGACGTAATCACATGGAATGCAATGGTTGTGGGCTATGCCAATAATGACCAGGGAGACGAAGCTCTGAAACTCCTGTGTCAAATGAATGAAGAGAAGATAGAACCTGATAACTTCACCTTTGCTGGGGTGCTTGCTGGGTGTGCCAATATAATGGCAGTTCATCAAGGCAAACAGGTCCATGCATTGATCACAAAAGCTAGGTTTCCGATGGATGTTGCAGTAGGAAATGCTTTAATAACAATGTACTCAAAAATGGGAAGCATAGATGAAGCACAAACAGTATTCCTCATGCTACCTTATAGGAATTTAGTTTCATGGACTGCAATGATAATGGGTTATGCCCATAATGGGCAATCTAAGGAGGCACTCAAACTCTTCCATGAAATGCAAAGTTCTAATGTGAAGCCAAATGGCATAACATTTGTTGGGGTTTTAACAGCTTGTAGTCATGCAGGGCTCACTGAACAAGGTGTGAAGTATTTCAATTCTATGGTTACAGACCATGGAATAACCCCTGATTATGAGCATTATGCCTGTGTAGTAGATATTCTAGGACGGGCAGGGAGGCTTGAGGATGCCGAAGAGTTCATTCAAAATATGCCTCATGACCCTGATGCCCTCGTTTGGCGAATGCTTCTCAGTTCTTGTAGGACTCATGGTGATCTGGTGAGAGGAGAGAGGTGCATGGAAAGGATTCTGGCTCTAGATCCTAGTGATTCTGCAGCTTATGTGTTGCTTTCAAATATCTATGCAGCCTATGGGAAGTGGGAGGATGTTGAAAGGGTTAGAAGATTGATGAGAGAGAAAGGAATAAGGAAAGTACCAGGAAAGAGTTGGATTGAGATTCATAATGGATTGCACGAGTTTGTTGCTGGTGATAGGTCGCATCCTCAGGCTACTGAGATTTATGCAAGATTGGCGGAGCTGGTAGAGGAGATGAAGAAAGAGGGATATGAACCTGATACAGATTTGGTTCTCCACAACACAGAGAAAGAAAGAAAAGAAGATATGATCTGTTATCATAGCGAGAAGCTGGCCATTTCATTTGGACTCATCAGTTTGGCATTGGGGACTACAATTAAGGTGTTCAAGAATTTGCGTGTGTGTGGGGATTGCCATAATGCGGCAAAGCTGATATCTAAGATTGTTGGGCGAGAAATCATCATCCGAGACACAAGCCGCTTTCATCATTTCAGAAATGGGATGTGCTCTTGTGGAGACTTCTGGTGAGGTTCATCTCCATGGGTTGCTAGTGAAATTGGTTGACAGTTTAACGTAGTTAAGATACAACTTAGGTATATGAGAGTTCAATTAGATCATTCTACAAGATCTTCTGTAATCAGAAGAAGGGTCGAAGAAAAGTGCGCCTTGTCATGAAGGTAGATAAGGTCCTAGAGCAAGGCCGCATATTTCAACCAAAAAACAAACAAGAATTGTTCTGTGCATTGACCTAATCTGTGCTGCTGTGCATCTTTTACCCTCTGTTTGCACAACCAACCACACTTTTAGAATTTAATGGATCCATCTGTATAGCAGTTTTTTATTTTAGGCCACATCCTAGGTGGCTGTTTTGTGGCCCAGGAGTGGGCGGTTTTTGTATATTGTAAACTCTTATACTTAGAATGTTAACAGTTTCAAAAAACAAACAAGATTTGTTCTGTAGATTTTTAACACCATGCTTGTATGGTCTTGTAACTAATTTACTGTGACATAAGTCTACTGTCGTAATTATTTGTGTGATGATCCATGCATTCAATTTCTAATAAATATGTTGAATTTCTAAAGTTCTAATCAATGGATTATTAGATTTACTATTATGAGTACACCATTCTGGAGGAAAGCGAAAAAAAAAAACCCTCATTATCAATCAATGTTACTAGAGCTATTCTTAGGATCTTAAATTCTGGAGCTATACTCCACTGGCTTGGGATGTTAATTATTTGTATTAATGTCAACCGTGCTCGTCTGGATCCTCCAGGGCATGAGCTGCCCCATATGTTCGGTCCTTCACATCCTTGTGTCTTTAACTGTCTTGAGTCTTCTTTATGTGAACTGTTAAACACAATTATGTTAGTGGATGCATAAGATACTAGACAGACAGAATGATACCAAAGAAATTATCCCTAGAGGCTCCTTTAGAAACTTTTTTTTCACCGATAAACTTAGACATGATTGGAGACCTGCTCACATGATATTTCTATTTGATTGCGAGTATTTTGTACTTTAAAATGATAAGTTTTCTACAATTACTTGATTGTACCTAATAAAGTCATAGATGGAATTCACACCAAGTTCAAAGTATTTCATAAACTTATATTGGTGCTCATGGTAACTTCTATTCAGATAAAATAATGGTAACTTATATTGATGCTCACGGTAACTTCTATTCATAAGGATAAAATAATTTCTTCCTGATAATGACACCATACATTAGTAACATTACACACACCTCTTTCCCTGCAACACAAAACCCCTGGGTGGTTTCAAATGGACCATTTGCATTTTTCACTGATGCATTTGAAAGCATAAGCTCAGGCTGGGAGTCGCCAAGGTCCTGAGCCCAATTCACCCAATCTGATTCAGGAGAGTCCCAAGTAGGACAGGGTATTGTTAAACAAAGAAATTAGTATTTTCTTTGAAACATTGGGCTTGGGGATTCTCTAGGGCACCCAGCCGACCCAAAGCCAACTTGAGCAAGTTGAGCTGAGCCTCCAATTTTGAATCACTGGTTCACTATGATGCTTTCCTCTTATTCAATGGAACATGATTGGAGAAATTCATTCTTCCCAAATCAATACTCAATCGAGAGAGAGAGAGAGGTTGTCATCTATGATTTCACTGTAAGGTCAATGTCTTTCTTAAGAATCTTAGTTGGTCATTCATAATAACTTCATTCTTAAGAAGTTCGGATTGTTGTTTCAGATGAGCAAGCAATCAATTTTTTTTTTTGTTTTAATTGAAAACCCAAATAAATCGTGGAAAAACTATTGGATTGCCAACATCCTACTTATTGTCAGCAGAGGGCAGCATCATATAATAATAAATCATTGACAGAATATCTCACTCCATTTTTTACAGAACTTCTTAATAATTATCACGAGATAAAGCATTGGGAAGGTTATGCTACCCATGAGAAAAGGAGACCCCACCAGCAGATGGCCTTTTTTTATATTTGATTAGGCAGAAGCATGACCTACATCCATTTTGATAAAGTTAACATTGAATTAAGAGGGAAAAGAGATACAAGGGTACAAGGAGAGGACCCACATCTATTTGCTTGAGGGGGTGTAAGAGAACAACCAAGTATTATGCATCTGGCAAGAGACCAATGAGCAATGTCCTTGCATATATATGGTGAGAAAACAGAAAATTTCTCATGTGCCATCTTATTGAAGCGAAGCCTCTTCAAATGATTAATCTAGGGTAGATCCCATCAGATGCACACAGCCAAAGCCCATCAGATGCACACAGCCAAAGCCTCTTTTAACCGCTTTACATGAAAATCATAGCCAAACAACACTATTGATTTCAATGGCAATGACAGAATAGACAACATATTGTATTTGAAAGCATAAATGAAAAAGCAAAACTTAATTCCATAATGAATGACTGATTGCTCGTACATTTTAACAGTCAGTGAAGTGAAGGCGGCTATGAGACAAGTGGCCATATGGTTTCTAATGGAAATCACGAATGGAATTAATTTCTAAAGGGAAATGATGGTTAACAAAGTCATGAAGCAGATAATTAAGCCTAAAGTGACAATGACATTAATACAAAGCACAAATAGACAAGGTTACATTTAGATATATAACAAATATCAACTAAGCAGGCTTCCATGCCAGTCAAAGACAATATAAAGAAACAACTTTGCCATAGTGGGCAGCATACTTGATGAAATAAGAAAACCCCAATGGTCATTAGAGAGATTTCCCTTCCAGATATAATTTTGGCTTTTGTGTCACTGTGTGCCTGCGCGCGGGAAATGATAGGATATACAGGCCGCATCACCAAAATTGGAGCTCCACACACAGGAAAGAACTGCATTTCAGGTGTCATAGAGGATTGAAAGAACTCCATATCAATGCTCACACCCAAAAAACAGATTAATGGAAAGAAGGATTTGGAGCCCCACAAATGCCTCAAATATTCTTCAATTCAAATATCAGATTGGGAACATCCATTTCAGTTGCGATAAAATGAGTATCTTTGAAGGGTTTTTGGAGCTCCAAACTAACTCAAAACGTAAGATCAACTGATTCTAAAGGTGTATGAAATTTTTTGGGTTCCCCCACAATGGAAATGTGGTTCTCCTGATGGGTGGAGGCCAACTTCATTGACCCAACCAAAGCATGCTATGATTTCCCATCTACACACACATACATACATACATATATTCATAATCATACATCAATGATGAGATCTGTTGCATGTTTTCTGATGAAATCCTCACCTTATGGTGCTATGAAGCTGACTGTATGCAAACAATGCCAAGAGTAAATTCCTATAATTATCGAGGATGCAACAACAAATTCATATAATCATCAAGGATGCAAGAACTCTCACTTCTTTTCCAATTCATGAGATAGAACCAAGAAAACAGACCATAGAAAGAAGGAAAGGAGAAGAAGAAATATTGACACCTTGATTATATTACAATCTTTATAAAACAATTTTTCCACAGCCATTGAAACAAGTTGAACAAACACAGATATCAATATTTGATAGCCGAGTGGGGTAACAAAACATCCCCTGGACTATGCAAAACAGATGGCAAAATACTTGAGGGGCTTTAAATTGCCACCTATTTATGTACAACCCTTACAACAAATAATATTCAAAAGAACAGATGAGAAAAAAGAATGTGGAAGAAAGTATAAATATCAGACATTCAAAAAAAAAAAGTATAAATATCTGATGAAAATTCCTGTATTCTGACATGGTATAACTTGGGTAGGTGAATTGTTTCACTACTGTGATGTCTCGGACTGATTTAGATGACAACCAATTTTGCTGCCATCACAATAACCCCAGGACTGGTTAGGGCACCAAATATCCGGAACTGTCAAGAAGTATGTAGACATAGCCTTTCGAAATCTCTTCTTGTACTCTTTTGGTGATATCACTGTGGGCAATGCATTCTTGGGAACAACAAGAGAAGCCTTCACCCATGTCTCAAGATGCTTGTCCCACGTATATTGTCTCATATAATCAATAATACCAAATACAAATTCACGTCGCTCCATATCCACTCCAACAAGTAAAGAATAATCCATGACATTGATCGACTGCACATAAAGTTGCAAAAATGTCAAAAAAAGGCCGCAATAGTTGCAATACAAGTAGAAGAAGGGAAAGTATGGTGCAATTCAAATGATCTATGTTATGCATCATCCATTTGTTATGCTTAATCCACTGAGATCATCACCATCCAATGAAATGGACAGTGGGACCAACAAGAAAATGAGATGACCCCAATGATGGGGCCATTCTCCAACACTGTCCTTTTTCCTTGGGATGGGGATGAACCCAATGGTCTAAAGTTATAACCCCAATGCTGGGGCCATTGTCCAACACTGTCCTTTTTCCTTGGAATGGTGATGACCCCAATGAACTACGGTCTAAAGTTATACTGGTGTACCGTGTTATTGCATATGATTCCTAGAAGACTAGAGGGCCCTATTCCGATGCATTACTCACAGTAAGAAACGAAGTGTCATTCCAAACTGCACGTTCGAGAAGATGCTTGGCTTTTCGATCCATAAATAATGGAGAAGTCAACATATCTTCCACAAAATTCTGATCTAATAGAACTTTGCCATTTTCTTTAGCATCCGAAGTGTATCGAGAATGAAGAACGCCTTTAAGATCATATAAGCGTGTAACATTGCGGCCAAATAGCAGGTTCTCCATTACCATCACATCTAATTTCAGATCCTTCCCACTTTTTGGATTAACAATGCCAACCTGGAATAAAAATTACTACTATTACAAAGAATGCAAGGATGAAAGCAAATCAGTAAAAGAAGAAGGATTAAATGCAAAACCTGATATATGCCTAAAATTTTTGCAAGGCAAGTAGGGTTCCCTGCGCTAAAAGAGTGAGAAATGTGCTTGAAGTACCCTGGAGCGAACTTCAAAAAAGAATCAAACTCAGTCCTTTTCACTTGCTTTATGATGAATCTATCATCCAATGTCTTTGCAAAGAAAACTTTACTCTTTCCCCCTTGAGCATTCCATTTCTTACAACGGCTTAAGGAAGAGATAAAATCAAGTTCAGCAGGGTAGCACTTCCTTCTAAGAGCATCAAATTCTTTGGCATATAAGCAAACAACTGAGTACTTCCCTTTCCCAGCTCCCCTTCCATGACCAAGTGAGATCTCAGGATGCAAGGCCTTTGATGCAAGCAAAGAATCTGTCCTATCAGAGCCTGAAGTAGACATTTCTTCAGAAGATGTACTTCTTTCAGATGATATCTCTGATGTATCCAAACTATCTAAAGACCCAATTGAAGAAACCCTAATGGTACTTGGAGCCAAAAACAGGTTTTCAGTTTCTTTATCCAAATTACCATCCATGCTTCTATTTGAATCCCTATCAGATGAATGGTTATATTGATTCTGCAATAAGGACAAGGCACAAGCAATTATGCTTGTAACCTCATCTTCGTATAGGGAGACAACACTATCATTGACACCAGTTGGGAAGTGCAACCTGGATCCTTCATGGGTGATTGTTTCACTAGCCAAGGAGAGATAACCTGGAGAATACTTACCAATGAACTCGAACTTGGGTGAAAACCCTCTCTGAAGGTCTCTACTATAAACCTTACAAGATTCTGAAAAAGGAAGCCAGACCCAACTTTCAGAGTTCTCTAAATTTTCAGACAATGAAGAATGAGATGATGATGAAACCATGGGTGCTGAATCAGGTACTCTTTCCACCTCCAATTCATTAGAAGTGGGTCCTAGATGATCCCCACTGCTAATTTGGGTTGTAGCAGCAGTATCAGCCAAGCTCGCAGAAGGATCAGGTACATTCAGTTCCCCACTCTCTGCTGAAAATTTGTGCTCTTCTCCAGGTACTTCAACAGAGTTGTCACTTTCCAAGTAGTGCACTCTAGGGTTCAAGGAAGCTTCAGTCTCAAAAGAAGGATGGTTCATCTCTTTCCCAGTGGATTTTGCATGCGTCTGAACATCAGGTAATTCATTGCAAATAGTTGTGCCTTCTGACAATCTTTCTACATCAACCTCCTCCATCTCGTTAAAGTTTTGGCTATAATGCACCACTTGATTATCAAATGAGGATAGAGATGCATCTTTCTCCAAATTTGCATGGAAATCAGGACCAGAAACGCAATCAATTTCTAATGTTTTCCTCTCATCATTACTTTTGGCAGCTTCACCATCTATAAAGAACTGTACACAATTCTGGGAATCACTTTTATCATCAGTAAGAGAGCATCTGTCGTCAGGTTCCTGAACCACAGAAGCTCCCATATTGAATCGCGCATCACTATGAGCAGTGCTCAGGGACTTTTTCACAAACATCAAACGACGATCCCAAATGTAGAGGAGAAGCATAAGTTCCCAGTCCAAGCGATTTAGAAAGAAAATCTCATGTAAAATCCGATCTTGCTGTCCAGTTCTCGAAATGGCCTTCTGCAAAGATGCCTGCAAAATCAACAAAGTCAATCAAATTTAAAGAGCTAGTATGAACCAGAAATTGCAGATCATGCTTGCAAAGGTGCAGAAGCCTCAAAATGATTCATTCAGGGAGCAATCCCCACCTCAAAAACAGATTTATCCAGCCTCAACATTTCCTCTAGCTCCAAGAATCCTTTTACTGGACCGGCCCATGCCCCAACATACTTTGATTGTGAACAAGAATACTGAGACTTCAGTTTCTGAATGGAGTTCTCAACTTCCTTAAACAACAAATTTTCTTTTTCCATCACCTGAATAGGAATTGTTCAAACAGTCAATTTGCAAAATAATATATGAACTCATGGAATAAGAACTAAATTAGCAACATACATTTTTGGCTTTGCTTTTCAGCCACTCTTGGCCATTTGGATTCGAGATCTCCAACATCAGCGGTGGCATGTATGCACCATATACATCAACAGCAGAATAAGTCAAAAGTGCCACCTTAGACCCAAGCCTGCGCAGTATGCAAAAAATGCTAGATGCATGAGAATCTGAACCTCACTGTCTTGGTGAAAACATAATCAGTGCTATTACTTGTCGTTTTGTGGGTTAAGTAGAATTTCTCCTTATCACAAGTAGTTTATTGCTACTCTCGTACCCATAGAAACGAAGGCAATCCCTGTGCAGAGAATGTCCGCAACTAGCTAATCTACGAGCTGCGGTGTGATTTGAGAAGCTGAGCTCTAAGAACTTCCCAAATGAAAGGCTTTGAGCAGCGACTGACATTACCACCCTCGGAGTGGCTTGTGGAATCCCATTTTCTCTCTTACATTTCAAGCATCGAGTCCACATCCATAACTTGCCATCTGCTTCTCCAGGTAAGCTGAGTGATTGGGGAAGTTGTTTGACAAATATTGTGAGCCTACCATTTTGATGAGTGTAGCAGAGAACATGAGCTTCAGGTGGCTCTCCACAGACTGAGCAGCGATGATTCTACCACAATAATAACAATAAGTACTTAATGGTCCAGTTCAAAAAAAAAAGGAAACCTTTACATGTGGCACCACCCACAAAAAAAAGACATGACTACAATCACAAGTTAACCTTTAAGAGTCTGATTTTGATCATGCGGCTCAGAGTATTTGATTTTAATCTTTTCTTTTATAAATCATTTTGAAGTGAAATTTGGGGCATCCCCCTTCCCAAAGGAGGCGCAAAGATAAGAAAAAATATTTTTCAATAAGAAACAATGATGAAAATGCCCCTCTAATTTGCAGGTATTTTGGTCTTTCTATTTTTCATAATAATTTATTATATTTGTTGGGTGTGCCCCTGTGAGAAAAGGGACACTCCAAATTTCATCTCAAAATGATTTATAGGAAAACAATTAAAAACAAAATTCTATTATGCATGACAATGTGATTGAAGCTATCCCAACAGTCCCTTTAAATCAGACAGTTGAGACTGGCAGACATGTTTTCTATGTGGGTGGAACCACGTGGTCTCCCTTCAAAACATGGGACACAAAAGTTGGTAAATATAAATATAAGTTAGAAATCATAGTCCATTGAGTCATCGCAATCCAATAAAGTGATGGACAGTAATGGAGAGTGAATGTCTCGTTCATTGCCCTTGCTACCTCTCCCTTACAATCCAACATTTCAATGGACAGTAATAATCAAATGGACTATTAGTATAGTTCACTGGATCGGATCATAGCCTATTTTCCCTTCCCTTCAACGGTTTAAGAAAAATTTCATATATCGTAAAGAATTTAGATGGAAGGGCCCTCTAGAAAAACCTGATTGAGTAAATTGTCATGCAGGAACCGTCCAAGAGACTTGTCAAAGCTTCCATAGTACTTTATACGAGAAAGAAGGCCCCTCTCACAAACAGTCCCTTTAAGGATACAGCGGCTCGACAGCAAAACCAAAATGCTTTGGGGATCCATTACTGGTTTGGTTGCATCCATAGACACCACGACATCATTGTCATTACCATTACCATTACTATTGCTATTGCCATCTGAATTCTCGCATTGGCCTGAGATGGCTGCAGTAATGACCTCCCCGTCATGAATCTCATCAGGGCATTGCTCTTCATTCTTCCTACCCCCTTCTAACGGTAATTCGCTTGCAAGGGTCTCACGAGATGGAGAAACAGACAATGTTCTTGGACTCACACTCTCTAGGTCCAGTAAATTATAGCCAAAGTATTTTGAAATTGAGTAGTAAGAAGGGGGAGGAACAAAGCTTTCTCCCAGATATTTCCTAATAGAAGATGACAATGAGGACAGTAATTGGTCTGGAAGAACGGAGGGCACATTTTCATAAGCTATAACTTTATCTGGATGCCCAAAGCCATCATCAAAAGATGGGGCAAATGAAGATATTGGTGGGTCCAGCGCATTTCCGTCAGTATTGACTTCTCCCAAAGGATTAAATGCAGTGATGCGAGATTTTTTTCCTTCATCTAAATGATGGGTTCCACTGGATTCAACAGGAGATGGATGAAATATACATACTTGGCCCGCATCTTCTTGAGCAATTTTTTCTTGAAGTGCTTCTGGACCATGGATATTTGAACTAAACACAGAAGTAGGGCAACCAGAAGGCATTTGCTTATCCGCTAAGGTATTACTTGCTGCCGAACTCGGGAGAACATTAGAAAACATTGCCCTTTGATCTACAAGAAATGAAATCTCCAGGATCAGATGATATGCTGCAAATACAGCATATTGCATCACACGTTTTACCTTTTTCAGCTCATCACCATGGGCTCCCTTCAGCAGAATCTGCAAAGAGATTAAATCAAGTGAATATATAACTAAACATTACATAGAAACTTTTTTCTCAAAAATCCATTACCTAAGAAACAACATTGTTCAATTAACAAATGCAAGAGAAAAAGAAATAACTTTAGTCTGTAAGGATAACATTAAAGAAACATCAGAAATGCTAAGTTTGTAATGTTGGATGGAACACAAATTAACAGAACAATCTCAATAGTAATATAACAACCACTGCCACCAATAATACATAACATCAACTGCAACAGTAAGACAAATTACAACAGCAATTTCCAAGCATCACTTTCCTGCACCCTTGAACTACACATTAGTGAAACTTTTTATTATGAATAAATTAAATAAATAATTTCACTCCTCAACAGAAATGGCATCATGGTCCATTCTTTGCTTAATTGGTTTCCAATATAAACCACCACTATTAAGGTTTCTAATGTATTTCTTTAACCGCATTCTCCCATCTGGTTTTCTTCCAGAATTTGAATTGCTGAAGAAGGTAAGACCTGAGTATCTACATTAATTGTTCATATTCGATCATTTAGTTTTCTTATCACTTCAACCTGTAGTTTATATACCTAACAGAAATTGTATTATTTGTCCTTTCGTCATGGACCTTAATGCTCTTTCACAATAAGATTTCCAACTCGCCATCAATAAGATATCATTGCACTATTCTAAGCCTTCTTACTAGTCAGTAAATAAAATATCTAGGGCGATAACTTGTTTTCGCCTTGATCCTTATGAAAAACAAGTTGGGAAAAAATGAAAAGTCAAATACCTCATAATCACTATATGTATGTTTCTGTGTGTACACAGGCATGAGACGTTTACCTTATATACACAAAAGTCACAAACGTTCCAAGCAATCCGATGTAAATTGAAACTGGGATGCGAATACACATTTTTTAGACCTAATAACTTCAATCCCCAAGGAATACTTCAGATTCCCAAAAAACTTTCATATTAAACATCCTAATAGCTATATCTAGAGGGCTCCCAAAAAATAAAATATCATTGACATAGAAGAGAATAATCATTGCCATAAAAAGTCAAACAACTATATCTACATTATTTAATGAAGAATAATCAGTCAGATGAAACCTTGTAAAATCAGAGGTCATGCACGAGGACTTCTTGAGTACATAAGAAACACTTTTGACCAATCACCAAAGTTCTTTTATACATGGTAATTGGCATGTGTAACTCTCTCTTCTAATAGGAATGACCTCTGGGCCTGGGTGGTCAGGATGGTAAGGTACCACAGCATGACATCTAGAGTTCAAATCCTACCGAGGTCCCAAGGTAACAAACAAAAAAAATAAACATAAAATAAAAAATGAAATTTAAAAAATAAAACAAATAAAAGAGAGGTCTTCATTTGATAAAGAATTTTCTATCAGTTATCACAACAGCAGTTATTTTAGTTGGAATTGCTAAAAGAGTCCTCAGAGATAATCTTCGCATCAGCTGCAAATGTCTCTTCATTGTCGATATCATACCCCCTGAGAAGAATATTATGCACACAATCCATGTGTCTTTCAACCAAATCATAAGCCATGCTTTTAACCTTGAAGCTACTTAAACCAGATGATTAATTTTACGATGCAGTAAGAGCTTCCTAGATTTGCTCTCCTAGAAAACTTCAGGCCACCGAAGACATTTATTAATTATTCCTTCATGCTATGTGCTCATGGAAAGGCTTTTGGCCCATCTTAAACAATTAGCATAAAACTGTCTTCACAGGGGGCTTGTCATTCAATTATTTGAAATTAACATATGAGGAACAACATTTGTTGGAACTATAACAAAAACAGTGTTGGCCAAAGTTCTCAGCATGTATTTTTGTCAGGTTGCTGGTCATTTCTTCTTACTTTAATCTCTAAGTTCTTCAGACTATTTTCATCACATTTTATTTGACGTCTTCAGCATCAACTCGAGAATGACATCACCGATGTGTGCATCGCCATTTTAAAGTATATTTATTATTAAATATAGTCATTAATTCCAACTAATCTGATATATCATGATCATCAACTACTGTTGACCTTGAAACCTCCAAGGTAAACAATATTGCACTTTCAGAGTCCCATGAAATAGCATGTACTGATCAAATATCTTTTGATTGTCATGTGCTAATTAAAATATTTATAAAAAAGACCTTGAAGAACTAGCGAAAGAGAAATAAAACTCTCGAATGCATTGAACCACCAACTGGGGAACGAAGGGTCGGGAGAGAGAGAGAGAGAGAGAGAGAGAGAGAGAGAGAGAGAGACTACCACAGTAGGTAAACATACAACGACTTCGACCGTACACGACCCGAGGTACGGTCGTTACGGAACCAACCCTACAAACGAACATCGAGTTGTTACTTTACGTTTAAACCTACCTTTACCCCCTTACA